TTTTTTCGAATTTATGCCTTGAAGAGCTCCTTATTATTAAACTTACTAATATTATAAATGCGAATGTTTAAATGAATGGGTGGATGTTTGAAGATATCTTTAGAACGGCTGAACGGATCTCGATTAAATTTGGTATACGTATAGAACATAGTCTGAAAGAACACATAGGCTACATTAATTACGTTTTTTTATATATCCACGCGGACGGAGTCGCGGGCGATAGCTAGTATTTTATAAATAAATATAAAGCAAAATCGCATCATCACGTCTGTTTGTCTTTTTAAGTACAAGCTTAATAACTATGTAAGATCACTTTCGTAGAGTTTTATTAACCTTGAATTAAACCATAAATAGAGTCAAAGTCAGAAATAAAAGCACCAAAAGTACGTATAACCTACTAGTTGTCGCCTGCGACTCCATTCGCGCGGAATCGAAAAAATACTAAATAAATAACCAATGTGTTCTTCCATATAATGTTTTATTTAATCTATGCCAAATTTCAGCGAGAACCGTATAGACGTTCTGGAGATACATCTAACAAATATCGATTAGTCTATCCATCCGTACATTCGCATTAATAATATTAGTAAAATTTTTATCTACATTGAGTTAATAGTTTTTCTGTACAAGAGAATGTATTATACACACGTACTCGAAAACTCTTTATTCCGAAGCCTATCTCGAGATGCCGAAACAATTTCCGACCAACACAATAAGCCACGTCCGACCCATATATTTGCAGTATCTATAAAATAATCTGTTAGTTTAAAACAGCTAATCCCAATAAATACAAATTGGATATGAAAAAATATTTTTGTTAAACACAGCTTAATTAGTAAGGAATGTCTTAAGATATTTACAATCACGCCACCATCTGTAGAAGGCTAGCAGATAGAAAAATAAGTTTTAGTTAGGGGCATAGCGTACATAGTTACGTAATAAAACTGCAAACTTTTCACATTAGCCATTGTTCCATTTTGAATTCTGTCTACCGAAATAATTTGATGACGAACGCCGAGTTTAAATTACTCGTACGAGGGAACATTTTGAATTTATGTTGAGCAGAAGTTTGTCACGTATATTGTGTGAAATATTGACGACTATTCCATGTTGACTTAAAGCTTAGACTAAAGCCTGTGAAAGTTGAGGTCACAAGTTTGAAACCATACCACGAAGTTTAAGGTAACACTAAAATAGGTACGAATAAAGATTTATAAAGGATGTTCTTTTATTATTTTCTTGATGTATGATTTCCACTCTTTTTTTCTTTAAGACGTTACATTTAAGATCTAAAAGCGCGATTTTATTTAAACACTAGCTAAATACCGGGACTCCGTTCGCGCTAATTAAAAAAAAACTTAATTAGCCTATGTGTTCTTCCAGACGGTATTCTACATTTATGGCAAACGGCCAGATCCGTGCGCCGTTCTGGAGATATCTTTAAACAAACATCCATCCAAACATTCGCATTTATAATATTGCCAATCAAATTATCGATAAAAGTAAGCAGTATCTAAAATGCTATAAAATTTACCTTTACAAATTGCGTCTAGTAAATACCTGAGGATGTAAACTGTTTTACAGTCATTATAATGCTAAACTAATTATCAGATAAAGTATTTAACGGCCGATTTATAGATCACTTACAATTTCTTCAAGTACTTTAAGTAATCAAGTTGAACATTATCTGATGCTAAAGTGCTAATGAGCACTTGTTTAACACTTGACGTAAATGAGTCTAGTATAAAATATATTTTAATTATACCAATTTATAAAACTAATTTCGCGGCGGTACGATTATGCCAGCTCGTTTATTAAAAGGAAGGGCACTATGGGATTGACATGTCCGATATGGACAAAAAACCCAAAAAAAAAAAAAGATAAAAAAATAAAAAAAAATAATTAAAATTGAACACCATGTATTTAAATTAATATATTAGCTTATATAAGTAAAAAAAAAAGTTTATTTAAATTCTAATTAGGCCTTATCAAACCTTAGGTTATGTTAAATTAACAATTTTACACAAATGCAGCCTCCGCGCGGAATTAAAAAAGGGTCTTGACCGACAGACGGACGGACAACAAAGTGATCCTATAAGGGTTCCGTTTTTTTCCTATGAGGTACGGAACCCTAAAAACTTAATTAATAACCTATATGTTCTTCCATAATATGTTCTACATCCTTGCCAAATTTCATCAAGATACGATCAGCCGTTCTGGAGATACCTTCAAACAAACATCCATTTAAACATTCGCATTTAAAATATTAATAAGTAAGAAGTAAGATAAATATTTTTAGATCATTGGAAAACACTTGTATTAAAAGCGACAACAACTAACCTAAATTTGTGTAATTCACTTTAAACAAGTGCATACAAGACCTAAAAATATAACCAGTCGATATATCTGATTAACAGTAACTTTAATACCATGGCAACGTTTGTCACTGTCAACACGCAAATAATTTTCTCCGATTACAATAATATTTAAATTCTATAATTTATCAAGATTAATCCACAATAGAAAATGGAAAAAGTA